CTTAGGAAATTTCTGAAAGATGGAAAGCAGAGGGATAAACAGCTTCCGACAGAATAGTACAGAGAGCTGAAGCTTAACTGTAGTTAAGAGGCAGAAGCCAACGAGAAGGGAAATTCACAAAAAAGAATCCTAGAAAGGCCCAGGAAGATGGGGTAGAGTTATTGGGGGCGGGAGGCAAAAATCAGGAGGATGACATACCCCACAAAAGGAACAGTGAGACCCTGGATGGCCCTCCCACCCTGGCAGGGTAGTAGTACAGTTTACTCTCTGAAAACAATTTAATCTGACAGGCTCTAGGCTCAGGAACTCTAGGCACAGCTAGGTGTGAGGATAACATAAAAATCAAAAACCAAATCCAATGAGTCGATTCTGACTCACAGCGACCCCGTGTGTTACAGAGTAGAACTGCTCCACGGGGCTTTCTCGGCTGTAATCTTTAGGGAAGCAGTTTGCTAGGCCTTTCTTCCACAGCACCACTGGGTGGGTTTGAACCACCAACCTTTAGATTAACAGCTAATCACAAACTGCTTGCACCACCCAGGGACCTACTATTCTGAAAACAAGGAGATTAAATACAAACTTAAGTACTAAGCGGTGAGACCACCACCAGGCCCTACCCCAGCCCTCTTCTTCTCAACTGCTGAAAACTGGTAGTCCGTCCGTCTTACACCTGCCGGACAGGAGACAGGATTCCTCTTTGGGAAGAGAAATCCATCCAAAAAAAAACTAAAGATATTAAGAGTCATAGATGTCTCAATGAAATACATCTGGTCTTCAACCAACAACCCTGGAGTGAAGCTCATGCACACAGAGCATCCACGAAGGTTTTAGTATTAGCTAACGATCTGAAGAACATTTGAGGAATACTTCCAACATGAAAGACAAAAACCAAACCAAACAGAAAAATGAACGACAACAAACAAGACAATGCAGCGCAAAGTAATTATTTTTTAAAACACTAGAAGTATATCCTCAGAGAGATAAGATGGAATTGTATCCGTACAACAGTAACAGGAGAGTACGAAAATGAATGCTCAGAAAACAAGAAAAAAACCTTGAAAAGTTTAAATGAAAGCAGAAACGTGTGTGTGTGTGTGTGTGTGTGTGTGTGTGTGTGTGTGTGTGTGTGTGTACATATGTGGAGCTCTGGTGGTGTAGTGGTTAAGAGCTTGGCTGCTAACCAAAAGGTCAGCAGTTCAAATCCCCCAGCCACTCCTTGGAAACCCTATGGGGCAGTTCTGCTCTGTCCTATAGGGTCGATACGAGTCAGAATCAATTCGAAAGCACCTGACAACAACATGTACATATATGCACATATATATAATGAGAAGGTTGGAAGATAAAGCTAGGAAATTCCACATATGAACTAACAAAGGAAAAAATAAATTTAGAAGATCAAAATCCAGGAAATTCAATATTACACTATAGAAATTCTAGAGGACACAAAAGGTTTGATGGGAAGCCTAGGGGACAGTGAGTTGAAGATAATGGTGATGGAATAATTTGGAAAAGGATAGTGAGAATAGCAGCGCAACTGCAAGAATGTAATCGATATCACTGAATTGTACATGTAGAAACTTTCAAAACGGTGTAACTTTGGCTATACATATTTTCACCAAAAAAAAGGTCCTCCGAGGTGGAGAAGGGAGAGTGTTGACATGTTATGAGGTTGTTAACCAATATCATAAAACAGTATTTGTACTGACTGCTTAATGAGAAACTATTTGTTCTGTAAAACTTCATCTAAAGGACGATAAAAAAAAAAGATTACAACAAAGGAAAAAAAAGAAATTCAAGAGAGGAGAAAATAGAGAAGAAATAATATAAGAAAATTTCCCATAAAACTCCAAGAAAAACAAGTTACAGGAAAAAGTGAATGTCATCATAAGCACTACATGACTCTGCTATGAATAATACATAATCACAATGAAGACACTGGCTAACCAAAACTTGTGTTAACTATACTGGGGGAAGGAACCTGGGGGTGGGAGGGAGGAGGGGAATCAATTGATGGAGGAAATATGTGAGAACTAAATCCTCATTTGCCTTAGTAGAAAGTCAACAGATACTGACCAAAACTGAAAATCAAGAAATGACTTGCATAAATAATTGAAAAATATAGAGGGATGCCTTTGGGGATAACGACCCAGGGTTCAGGAAGGGTGGCCAGGCATCTAATATTTTTTTATTACGTACTTTATCTCATTATTTGAATTTTTAACATTAATGAAACCTATAACCTAACCTTTGTGAAAAGCATTTTTAACATTAAGCAACATATCTCTCCATATATTTTTATACGTTTCAATTAAATTGTAAGCTTTCCTCAAATGGGTCCTCATGCCCACTTCTTGTTTCATTCTAGATAAATTATATTTTTGGTTACTATTAAGAATGACACTATAAAAATTTTATTCTTTAACTAGCTATTGCTGTTTTTTTTTTTAACTGAAAGAGTGCTTGTTTTTATTTTTCTTGAATCCACAGATAACAGAAACCATTTTCATGGATATTTATATTTGGCATTGTGCCCCACTCATATAGAAAGTATATATTTAATTAATAATAGTGACCATTGATAGAGCACCTACAATGTGTCACACCCTAAACTAGGCAATTTATAATCTCAAATCTTCACAACAACTCTTTAAGGTAGTGTTCTGGTTAGGCTGCTAGGAAGACTAATCAACTATAACAAAAGTAATACAAAAATGCAAGGGCTTAAATAAGATAGTTTATTTCTCTGTCACATAACAGTTCAAAGTAAGTGGGTAATGTGGGGTGGGGAGACAGGTCTGCTCCAGGGAACCCAGGCTAGCCAGTCTGTTCTGCTGTCTTCATCACTGGGCTTCCATCTCTGGATCCAAGGCTGCTGCTTCAATTCTTGTCATTTCCCAGCCAAGGAGAAAAAGGAAAAGAGGGCATCCAGGGCAAATGGCTTTGTCTTTAAGAGGACACAAAAAGCTGCACACATCTCTTTCTTACACATCCCAATGGCCCAAACTTAGTCACAGGGCCCCACCTAACTGCATCTAGCTGGGAAATGAAGCCGCAGTTGGCTGGTCATGGGCTAGCAACAATTTGGGGGCAGGATCCTGGGATTCTATTTCTAAAAAGAAGAAAAGAAGAATGGCTACTGGAGTAAAGTTAGCAGTCTCTGTCACTGGTAGGTATTATCATCTCTAGTTTATATATGAGGAAACTAAGAACCAGAGTTATTCGCCCAAGGCTACACAGCCACTAATGATTAAGCCAGGATTCAATTCCATCTTCTGCCTCTCAGTCCCATAATCTTTCCACTACATCATGCTGAATGGCAATAGAAACTTTTTTTTTATATTTCTTACTAAATATGACACAACTGGTTCTAACTAAACAGCCTGGGATGTCTTCCTTAATAATATACATATTATTCTAAAACTTCCTCCCCACTGGTGAAACCAAACAAAAAAAAAAAAATCAAACCCATGCCGTAGAGTCAACTCCGACACATAGCGAGCCTATAGGACAGAATACGACTGCACTATAGGGTTTCCAAGGCGGTAAATCCTTACGGAAGCAGACTGCCATGTCTTTCTCCCATGGAGTGGCTGGTGGGTTCAAACCACTGACCTTTTGGTTAGCAGGCAAGTGCTTTAACCACTGCACCTCCAGAGGTACCCAGAGGTGGAAGGGACCCTATACATTTAATTCTAATGTTCTCATTTTACAAAGAAACTCTGAGATTAAATGAGCTGCTTAGGGTCCCACAGCCAGTTTTTGAAAAGAAAAGGCAAGTAGAGATCCTAGGTTTCCTGATCTGCAATCTAGTGCTCTTTTCACTATCCTATTCCATCTTCCAGTGAAATCAGAATTCGTCTTGTCACAATTACAGCCGCTCCCAGACGGTGAATGGTTTAAAACAATAAATTCTTCTTCCAAACGGTAATAAAGCACGAGTCTCAAGCAGACCCTCAAGTCTGGCAATATATTATCGTTTCTGTACATTTACTGAGAATTCATCAAGCAATGTTATCTTTGGACCAAAGCAAAGCTAAAGGAGGAAAGCCTCATTGCCTGACCATTTCTAAAATCTAATGTGCTCACTTGCAAACATTATGAGAATAAAAGCCTGATTTTTTGCTTTCAATTGTGTTTACCTTCATGGTCACTAAAAGATCCCAAAGAGCAAGTCTGCGCTCACAAAATGAAACACCTTACTCCTTCTATTTCAAGAGTCTACATTACTCATAGTCTGCTAAAAGCTCTATTTACTACTATCCTAAATACAAAATAGAAGTTCAGGATGTCTGCTGAATTGAGCAAAACTATGAACTCCTTGACAACTTCACAGTAGCCTAAAAGAAGTATAAAACTTACCATGGCATACAACTTCTTTCCAGCTTATCTTCTTCCCACCCCTGTCACAAACTCCCCACAAAGATGATTCCAAAGGCACCTGGTGCTTTATCTTTAAACAAAATACATTTAAAATAGTTTGGAGGAAATTTTAAAATATTTGCAGAGCAACATAAATTGTAACTTTCCTTTGGAGTTTTAATCTCTTTGCTAAAAATGGGATTAGCGAAGGTCCATCCAAAGATGAGGAAGTGTCATACAAATTTTTACAAAGAAAGGGGGAATCACTGGTTTATGTTAGTAGATGAAAATATATATCTGGCATAAGGATTATAATATGGGTATTTCAAATTTATGTTAATGGAATACAAACTACTAATAGTCCAAGAAGCCACAAGAATCCCTCTTTATCTAATTGATTAATGTTATCTACCAAAGACATCAATGGGACTAGAAAGGAGTATCACAGTTGAATAAAAGGATGAGACGTGAGAAAATGAGCACTGTATTTGTTTGACTAAAGTCTTTATTCACTTTGTCCATATCACAGAGCACAGTAGTGGTCACAGCCCTTTGGAAAAAAATTTAATTTTTCCATTAGTCATAGAAAAGATTTAGAGATTTATACCATAACTCCCCTTAAAAAAAAAAAAAAAAGACTTAGATCACCAGCAACAGGGATGGAAAATCAGCTGGACTACCAAAGATTTTTTGGAAAGATGAAGAGAGGAAAACACTCTCCAGCACAGAGTGAATTAGACATAATTGAAATGTCTTACAGTCTGGATGAATCCAATTTAGTCTGAGAGGATTATTAATTATCTATGTCAAAGATATAAACATAACCTAGGTAAAATTTAAGTCTGAGTGACCCTTTCAAATTTTGAAATTACCTTTCTTTCAATGATGCTACTTCTGACAGCTAATTTATGCCTTCTGAGTTACTGCATGTAATCCAACAGAAATAAGATGGTGTCTGCTCTCTCAGAAATCTATGAAAGGAGAACATAATAAATATTTAGTCTAAAAACAATACTGAAATTCACAAGACTGACAACATATGGAATGCTTGTACTATATCAAAGTCAAGTAATATGCAAATGATATCACTTGAAGCCTAGATCAACAAATAATAATACCCACCATTAACTAAATCCCTACTGCAGACTTGGCACTATCCTAGGTGCTTTACATGCTTTTCATCCCAACAACTTTGCAAGGTTAATACTATTCCATTTTACAGCTGAAAAAACAGATTAAAGAGAACTTGAAAACTTGCCCAATATCACAGAGCTGATATGTACTAATAGAGTCAGCCATGAAAGTCAAATAGTTCACTTTCAGAAAAACAAATTTGAAGGATATATTCAGCCTACCAAAAGAATTATAGGTCTAGTATCTTAAAATGGATGTTGACTTAATCCAAGTACAATGAACTCCTTGACAACTTCAATATTTTCTGTTTATCATGATATTGTTTACTGGTCCAGCTGTTAGCATTTTTGTTTTCTTTATGTTAAGGTATAATCTATACTGAAGGCTGTAGTCTTTGATCTTCATTAGTAAGTGCTTCAAGTAAGTGCAAAAGACCTCATGAAATTGTTGAAAAGCAAAGACGTCACTTTGAGGACCAAGGGCGCCTGACCCAAGCCATCGTGTTTTCAATCACCTCATATGCACGCAAAGCTGGACAATGAATAAAGACCGAAGAAGAATTGACGCCTTCGAATGATGGTGTTGGGAAAGAATACTGAATATACCATGGACTGCCAGAAGAATGAACAAATCCGCCTTGGAAGAAGTACAGCCAGAATGCTCCTTAGAAGCGAGAATGGCAAGACTGTATCTCACTTACTTTGGACATGTCATGCTTGGTAGAGGGTCAGCAAAAAAGAGCAAGACCCTCAACGAGACAGACTGACACAGTGACTGCAACAACGGGCTCAAGCATAATGATTGCGAGGATGGCGCAGGACCTGGCAGTGTTTCGTCCTGTGGTGCACAGGGTCACTATGAGTCAGAACCAACTCGACGGCCCCTAAGAACAACAATATGGACTCCATTATGGTCTAGATTATCTTTCACAGGTTCCAGACCAAACTCCTTGCTTGGATTCTTCACTCAACTGCTAAGCCTGAATTCCTGACTGTTTGTCTTTACCCAAGTATTTTTCTTTCAGTACTTGTGTCCTCCAGTTTCCAATCTGCTATCTTGTTTCTTTTTTATTTGAGGCAGACATAGATCTAAAGACAACCCTGTTGCTAACCTCCCCTCTCTTTCCTTTTAGGGACTAGCAACCAAAGAGTTAGCTTATCTACCCAGCCACAGGAGAGGGTGCTATGCTTTGTTATACTATTTTTTCCAAGATGGAGAAGGGATAATGAACCTGAGGAAGAGAGGTAAATAGGAAAAAAAAAAAAAATGAAAAAGTTTTTAAACTTAGAAATAAAGAAAACAAAATAAGCACCAGATTCTATAAAGATGCTGGGGATATACAAAAACCCGTTGCCATCCAGTCATTTCTGACCCACAGCGACCCTGTAAGACAGAGTAGGACTGCCCCATAAGGCTTCCAAGGAGCTGCTGTTGGATTCAACTGCTGACCTTTTGGTTAGCAGCCATGCTCTTAACCACTGTGCCATCAGGGCTCCGCTGGGGATACAGTAGTGCAAAACAGACAAGGCCCTGCCCTCACAGAGCTTACAACTTTAAGACACTTGCTTAGCATTGTGGGTACATAAAATGATAATTAGGACACACTGCCTTTCCTCCAAAGACTCATAATCTATTTGTCTTAGTTATCTAGTGCTGCTATAACAGAAATACCACAAGCGGATGGCTTTAACAAACAGAAGTTTACTCTCTCACAGTCTAGGAGACCAGAAGTCCTAATTCAGGGTGTCAGTTCCATGGGAAGGCTTTCTCTCTCACTGGCTCTGGGTGAAGGTCCTTGTCATCAATCTTCCCCTGGTCGAGGAGCTTCTCAGCAAAGGGACCCCAGGTCCACAGGACGGGCTATGCTCCAGGTGCTTCTTTCTTGGTGGTATGAGGTCCCCATGTCTCTCTGCTAGCTTCTCTCTTTTATATCTCAAAAGAGAGAGACTTAAGACATAACCTAATCTTGTCCATTGAGTCCTACCTCATTAACATTAACTGCTGCTAATACCATCTCATTAACATCACAGAGGTAGGATTTACATCACATAGGAAAATCACATCAGACGACAAAATGGTGGACAATAACACAATACTGGGAATCATGGCCTAGCCAAGCTGACACACATTTTGGGGGGATACAATTCAATCCATAACACTTTTGCAGACATTCAAATAACCCTTCAGAATTTTACAAAATGATTTCTTAGCATCTCCTTTAATACTCACTGCAACAACCTACAATAGGAATTACCTCCTTTACTAATAAAAAAAAAAAGGATTAAGAAAAACTACATTTCTTGTTCAGTATGACACAAATAAGGGGAGGAGCCAAGATTCAAGCCCAGGTCTTCCAGCTCCAGTTCCATTAAGGGGGGTCTCTGAGGAAAAATGAGTCTGGTTTCTGTCAAGTGAATGCAGAGCTCAGTTCACAACATCTGAAACGAAGGCCTCATAACCCATACATTATATCATAGTTTCATACAAACACTCAAGGCAAAGCAGTGGTCATATGAGGAAAAGTGGTCAGCAACTAAAGGGACATAAATTCTAAAGAACAAGGCACAGCAGCTGGCCCAAGTCTTTCTACTCCCTTCTCCTCTGACCAAACCCCATCTCCCACACTCTCTACTGGAAGTCTTTCCACACAGTTTAAATATATGACTATTCAACAGTGCTAGAAATAATAAGGTTTATGGTCATAAATCAGCAGAGTATTAGAGGGTAGTTGTGGGGTATCCAAACATTAAATACTGTCAACTCAAGGATCAGAGCCCACAGAAGTGTCCTTGAACAAAAAGCCAGACAATCTGTGAGGTTGTACTTGTGACTTATCTCAACTATACTAACTACTTCATTAAAAGTCTATTCTCAAAGACTACTGGGGATCTAGCCCACTCTCAAAGGAGCCCTGGTGGCACAATGGTTAAGGGCTTGGCTGCTAACCAAAAGGTCAGAGGTTTGAACCTACCAGCATATCTGGCGGAGATAATACCCGTGGATCCGCTTCCATAAAGATTGCAGCCTAGGAAATCCTTTGGGGCAGTTCTACTCTGCCCTATAGGGTTGCTATGAGTTGGAATGGATTCAACGGCAAACAACATCCTACCCTCAGTCTGTAATAGGCTATGGAAGCTACAATGCTGCCTACCTAGCACGCTCTCCTCCCCACACGTCTGTCAGTTTGTCGTACTGTGGTGGCTTGCGTGTTGCTGTGATGCTGAAAGCTATGCCACTGGTATTTCAAATACCAGCAGGGTCACCCATGGTGGACAGGTTTCAGCTGAGATTCCAGACTAAGACAGACTAGGAAGAAGGACCTGGCAGTCTACTTCTGAAAAAATTAGCCAGTGAAAATCTTATGAATAGCAGTGGAACATTATTAAATGATGCATTGCATTGGGCAAATTTGTTGCAAAAGACCTCTTTAAAACGTTAAAAAGCAAAGATGTCACTTTGAGGACTGAGGTGTGCCTGACCCAAGCCATGGTGTTGTCAATCACCTCATATTCATGCGAAAGCTGGACAATAAATAAGGAAGACTGGAGAAGAAATGATGCCTTTGAATTATGGTGCTGGCGAAGAATATTGAATATACCATCGACTGCCAGAAAAATGAACAAATTTGTCTTGGAAGAAGTACAGCCAGAATGCTTCTTAGAAGCAAAGATGTCAAGACTTCATCTCAAATACATTGGACATGTTATCAGAAGGGACCAGTCCCTGGAGAAGGACATCATGCTTAGTAAAACAGAGGGTCAGCAAAAAAGAGGAAGACCCTCAATGAGATGGACTGAACAAGTGGCTGCAACAATGGGCTCAAACATAAGATTGTGAGGATGGTGCAGGACTGGGTTGTGTTTCATTCTGTTGTACCTAAGGTCGCTGTGAGTCGGAATCGACTCAATAGCACCTAACAACAACAGCATGCCTTCCCAACTCTCTTTTCTGATTAAGAAAACAACAAGAGCATGCTTTCCCAACTCTCTTTTCTGATTAAGAAAACAACAACAAAACAAACATCCACCTTGTCTTAATCAAAATCATTCCCCACTCCATGTAGTCTGGGTAGGGTTGTCAAATGAGAGCCCCCAAAGTATCCATTCCATCCCCCAAATGCAGAGATGAGTACAAGATTATTTTGGTTAATTGTGACTTTTTTGGGATGCTTTTAAATTTAAATTTTAATGTATTTAAATTTAAACTTAAAATTTTT